TCAACGAAAGGGATTCGAAAAGAATACGCCATACGTTTGTGACGATATCAAAGGCAAATCAACGATTGCTTCCGAGCTCCCATTTTTGTACTAGTTATTAGTCATGCATAAAATTCAGTTACAAATTAATTATTTATTGAGTTCAAGCTGTTTGTAGCAGTGTGCTAAATGTAGTCGAATAGAAAAAATAAAAGCAATTGTAATAATTGATTATGACAGCTAAAAAATTTTTGTAAAAAATAAATTTCTCTGATTAAGTGGCTACAAAAAAATATCTGTTCGAGTGACTTAGCACTTTCTGGTCCTACGATTCTTCCTCTACAAATACCCCCTTTGAAATGCATCGACTAAAGATAAAAAATGGATTAAACTATAACAAAAGGGACCATAAGAGTTCCAACAGAGTTATACAAATAAAGCAGAACAGTATCGAAAAAGCCGGTCACAAATAGCTTGTTGTTTGCCCATGTTTATCCAGCTGTAAACGATTGTTTGAATAGTTCCCGCTTTCGAAATAAGCCATGCACTTATGAGCTGCCGAACTCAGAATAACCCATTGTCCATTCTTGTTGGGGATTAATTCGAAATAGGTGTGGGAGGATAAGGAGGTGATTTCGACAGAGCCTGACTCTCGGAACAATTGCAAGGAACCCGAACACGCCTTCGAAGGCTAGGAAAATGAGCGCTTGGGATTTCCCTAAACGAGCTTTCCACAGAGAAACGGCCCTTTTCTGTGTGGGAAACTCACAGCAATCACTCTCGTGAAAGCTAGAACCCCCTGCTATAAGAAACTATGATTTTTTGATAATCTTCAGAATCAAAAAGTATGAAAACAGCTTAGAGCCTTGAAGAGATGATCCTGGCTAGAATTTCGACAGAAAAGAGGCTAAAGGAATGAAATTCTGACGGAAACGATAAACAATTGCTAGAAATTATGCTAAGTAAACGTTGTAAAGCTGGAAATCCTTCTCGGATGAAGCTCCAAACGACCGTTAAATCCCCCGATGCAATTCCAATGATGGGCTTGGATAAGGACTGCGACGTTCAGTGAGCTTAGCAGCATTTGTAAGCGTATTAGATGAATCCTAAGTCCGAGAGCTTATCGCATTAACAAAATGGCACGTGATTCAGATAATCACCGTATGGCTTCTGAATCCTACGTCGGTAGATATTTCAGCGATCAGTTAATCATAGTCCANTGCTTCTTTGCACGAACAAAGAGAATGCCAAGTTTAAGGATAAAAGATATTGTTCTTGGGCGTTTATCAATCCCGTCTGAGGGATGCGCCCCCGCACTCGACTTCTATTCAGAATCGTAGTGGCGTATTGAATGCATATGTTTCAGATACAGTGTCTTGCGGTGGCCAGCCGATGTGCAAGTCAGTGCCTTTATCCTCCCAGTCCGGTCTGGTAGAATTAACCGACCCCGTATGGATGGTAAGGCCTAGGCCGATATCGATTCGGGATTTAATCCCGTGACCGTGCATCAGTGATAGTGCGCCACTTGTCATTACACTATCTTCACCAGATGCTAGGATCACAGCACGAAACAGGCCAGAACCTTCACTTTCCCCGAATACGCCATGTATTCAATATTGGTAACAACTGAAGGCCATCATGGCAGTTTGGCTAATATGATATGGGCCAACAAGTCCACTTCCGACGAGATTGCATGGGAGCACGAGTGTAAATAGAAATGGCGCTTGGCACTTGGAGATATTGTAACTGGCTACAATAATCACCCTGAAAACTCCCAACCATCTCGCAGATTAGCGACAAACCCATGCCTCTAACAGGACTCGAACCCGCACCCGATAGTGTGCGCAGTGCCAGAAAGCACAGACACTTGTTTGGTCCGAAAGCAAAGGTCCGCTCATAAATCGCCAATCTTCAGAGACTTTCGGATAGCGCACAGCGGCGAAATAACAGCAGGTAACAAATTATCAAGTTAAAACTCTTGACAGCCAACAACTTCATTTCTTTCTTGCCATTCGGGGAGCAAATAAAGACACAGGGGAGATCTGATTTGCTAAGGCAACCCCAAGAGTTTTGGGTTTAGTTCTGCCATCACAAATTCATTTCCTACGTGGGGTTCAGGATAGGCTAGGAAGCTATTGAAACCTTTTTTTAAATATGAGATTGAAACGGATAGAAATTGCTTGAGAAATCAGCTGCAAAGGTAACCAACTTTGCCTAAGCTCTTTGCAACCCTTTTAGGATAAGTGGTCCCTACTAAGTCTTTTGCTGTCTTCATCGTCGGCTACGCCTTGTTCGTCATCAGATTCAGTGTAATTTCTGTAGCAGATTATCTGCTTACTTAGACGGCCCATACTCTCTTCACTTCGGATTTCCTCCGATCTGCTTATTGTCAATCCCGTGGGCGGAGATCGTAGACGGATTACAACTTGCGAAACAACCTCTACATCCCAAGACCACAATCCAACCTAAATGTTCTGGGAATTTTTAGGCAACAGCAATGCATTGGTTTAATTGGATAATTAAAATCGAAGTTCGACAGAACCAGCGGTGTATCTATTTTGTAGT